TCATGGGCACTGCCCTGCTGAGCCAGGCTCACCTCAAAGAAGGGCTCATGGGCACTGCCCTGCTGAGCCAGGCTCACCTCAAAGAAGGGCTCAGAGCATGGGCACTGCCCTGCTGAGCCAGGCTCACCTCAAAGAAGGGCTCGGAGCATGGGACTCTCCAGGCTGAATCTCAGTGGATAATACCTGCACACTGCTTGCTCTCAGATCAGACAGACTCCACTGGGAACAGCTCAAGTTTCCAGTAGCCCTGTGGCAGGAACTAGTGAATCAAATCRCACCTATGCTCACAGACAGTATTTCTTCAGATGAATTAGTGCAGTAACAACCTGCAGGATCTAATTATGGCTAATTTTCCATTCATTCGTCTCGGTACTTCTGACCCTTTTACTGCAATCCTTGAGCACTCACAACATTGATCAGAAATTTTCAATAATTTAACTCTGAGGGTCAGCTCTTTAGCTGGTGTAAATCAATGCATTTTCTTTGGCTTTGGAGCTGATCCGAAGGGAAGCGTTCAACTTGTGCCACAGAGACAGCAGTTGGAATTCACTGCAGAWGCTACAGCCTGGCTGCTCACGCTCCCCAGCCCTTGCACAAAGAGTAGAAATCAGCATATTGAATATTTATGGGTATTACTCAGTCCCCTACAACTAAAATCAGCACACATGAACTTAAAACAAAAAAAAAAAAATATACAAAACAAAACAAAACAAAACAAAAAAAAAAGTACCTAACTCAGATCTTCAAGATCACCCAAATTGTAAGATTAGAGACAGAGGCTCGTGCCTTGTGACAGCTTCATTTAGGAATTGAGGCTAAAAGGTCACACAAAAGGAATTCAGGCTCAACTGACAAAAGGCTTAACTGAGCTTTAATTTATTGTTGTTCTAGAGGTTTTGGATCTTTGGTTTGGTTGCTATTTAAGACAGAAAGAATTTCCACAACCACATGAAAAGGGAATGAGTGGAGATGTTAAGTGGTAACATTTATTTAATATAGTGGCATAAGTGAACATCCACAAAACTTTCAGTCGACCCCTAAAACAAGAAATGCAGTGAGCAGATATCCATTGCCAGTGCTGTGGATTTCAGGAGTGTGCCCCAACTGCAAGCTAAGCAAAAGCCATAATATTTTCTTTTCTGGAAAACACTGCATCTTTTCTCAGCACTTGCCTGGCTCCACAGAGAAGGGATAGACTGGGAAAACAGGAACTTATGGGGAGATGCCAGCTTTTATTTGCCGTGGGAAGTTAAAGGTTCCCTAGAGCACAAAGGACCTTTTCTTGCCCAGACAATCCCTTTGTGGTGCACATCAGCACAACTAAAGCTGCAAAGCTCAGCAGCAGTCAAGAGGGATCTGCTGAACTTGAGATGAAATTTTTTCAGACATTCACTAGTTTTTCTCCACACATCAATAGCTGGAAATATAAATCTGCTAAAAAAATATATAGCAGGATCTCTGGTTTCTGTTGAAGCAATACACACAGAACCTCCAAATATCCTTCCAGCATAAAGCCCAACTTCTTTGTGCTGCACAGAGATTAATAATTATTATCTTATCTATTGTGAGTCGATGCAATTGCTTTTTTCCTCCCACACCCCCACACTGCTGTTTCCTTCTGATCTGCATTTGTAGCTGAGCGACTGTTTAGCTGAAAGGAAGGAATTTGGTAATACCTCCCTAAAAGGATGCCTGTACTGTGGCTGCCTGTTCATCTRGTGACAAAGGATGGAGATATTGGCTACTGACAAAAGAAAATAAAGAACTTCTCTTCCAAACATCCCACGAGAAATCACCTCACCATTAAGGTATTTCTTGAGAATTCCACGTTAAAAGAAAGGAAAGAAAAAAAGTCTGAAGATCTGAAACTCGCTTGAGCTCGATCAATYGTTCTCACTGGATTATAGTTCTTAACATGCATAATTATAAACAACAGATGGAGAAATGCTCAGATAAAGCCAAAAGGGGTGGGTGGGAARAAGTCCCACTGATGGTGGATATTTTCAGTTTGGATGTGAACCAGCCTTATTCCCCTTGGTCTTTCAGGTTTCAGCATCAACAGTTTGGCAGCCTGGCCCCATGAAGGCATCACCCCAGGAGCACACAGAGCCCCCGGGCCAGCCGGGCTCCTGAGGCTGCAGCAGTGCCACACCGGGCTGGTCGGTGCCACACCGGGCTCCTGAGGGTGACAGCGGTGCCACACCGGGCTGGTCAGTGCCACACCGGGCTCCTGAGGGTGACAGCGGTGCCACACCGGGCTGGTCAGTGCCACACCGGGCTGATCAGTGCCACACCGGGCTGATCGGTGCCACACCGGGCTGATCAGTGCCACACCGGGCTGGTCGGTGCCACACCGGGCTGATCAGTGCCACACCGGGCTGATCGGTGCCACACCGGGCTGATCAGTGCCACACCGGGCTGGTCGGTGCCACACCGGGCTGGTCGCTGCTGCAGCCGGCTGGGAAGAAGCTTTTCATCAGGAGAAGGCACCAAAGTGATGGGCTGAACTGATGGGAGGAATGAGCGTCTGTCCAGGCGAAGATTCGGAGGCCTGTTGGGAAGCGTGAAGGGCCGGTTTCAGGAAGGGCATGGCCAAAGCTTTCTTCAGCCTACAGAAGTTTCTCCGTCGGACGCAGTTTCTGCTCTTCTTCCTCACAGCAGTTTACCTGATGGCTGGCAGCCTCYTGCTGCTGCAGCGGAGCCGTTTGGTTATCCAGCAAGGCTCTCGAGGGACCCCTGCGAGTCAGGCCCTGCTGGAAATGGATGGGATGGGCAGGGTTGGGATCACAGACCCCGGTACCCTACAGAACCCCCGCCCTGCTCYGGGCACGGACACGCTGCAGGAGCCGGCCCTGGAGCAGCAGCACAGCCCCCAGTGGCTCATGGCCCGCAACTCGGAGCTGCGGCAGCTCAGGAGGAGGTGGTTCCACAGGGTCACCAGCGAGCAGGAGCCCGAGCACACAGCAGGACTGAGAGCARTCAAACACGCTGCTGAACACAAAGGTAAGGGACACTCCCTGCCCGTTTCCTGGCACACATCAACTGCACTCTGCTGATCTTGGGTGGGCACAGGCAAGCCTTACACAGGCAATGCCTTCCTCCTCACTCATCGCCATTTTAAAAACAGTTCTTAGGCTATGCACAGGCCAAAGTACAAACCTAACCTTTCTGAACACGCTGAGCTGTAACTTCCTCCAAACAGTAGTCTTATTGATTGAATGGAAGCCTAGAAATGAATTATGCTTCGCTAATTTAAATTATTTTCTCTTCAAGTGGAGATGACCACTTAAATTTYCTTTCTCAGAAGAGGGAACACTTTAAAAGTGAATGTTATCAAATTAACAATACAAAGCCATACAGTACCTTAAGTCTAGAAGTGCCTCCTTGCTGCTAAAGCTTTCTAGTATATACTGAATTCTGCTATTGCAAACACATTCACTGTKCTGACCTGCCCTCTGTGAGCATCTCTGCAAATACACTGTTTTTTTGTGGGACAGTAGGTGGGCCCCTCATCAACCCCCCGGGGTTTGGTGAGTGTGCTGGGAATGTACAACAGCCAAGGGAACACGAGGAGAATACATCCTGCAGTATGGGCACAGCACATCAGTGGCCAGAGCACAGGGAGCAAACCTGCACAATTTCCAATCCAAATGGAAAGACAKTTCAGTTTGACAGAAACGTGAATTGACTTCACTGTGAGTCTGATTTTACTGTCCTAAGTGCTGCTGGTAAATACCCRCTTTGGCTGGTTCCAAAGGAAAAGTTTTAAGAAACCATTATCCAGAGCAAGCAAAGAGGCAAARCAGGACTCTGTAGTTCACATTTCCTGCTTGGTTTTAAACTCTTATGATCCCCCTGAAAGCTGCATCATCTGGGCACATTCGGGTGAGCATCCCTCGACAGGGCACCCCTGTGCTCCGGGGAGCAGCACAAAGCCAGCTGCCCACGGCCTTGGGGCTAAGCTGGAGCAGCCCTGCTGTCACCTCCAGC